ATACAGAAAAATGACAACAATCAATTCATACCTATTGATAATTAGAATGTAAATGGATGAAATGTTCCAGTCAAGAGACATAAAGAGCAGAATGGATAAGAAAACATGAGGCTTCAATATATTACCTACATGAGACATATAAAAAAGATGGGGACAGCCTAAATGCCCATCAACAGAAGAATGGCTAAACAAACTTTGGTATATGTAAAACTACAAAAGATTGAAGAATAATGATGAATCTGTGAAACACCTAACAACATGGTTGAACCTGGAAGACATTATGCTGAGTGAAATTAGTCAACCACAAAGGACAAACATTGTATGATACCAAAGTTGTAAAAAGTTTAAAAAAATGGTTTTCCTGGTAAAATAAATAATTTGATGGTTATGAGAGGGGTGGAAGGGAAAATCATTCATGAGCTAGAAGGTAGACACATGTTAACATGGATGACAGGCAGCAATATACAACAAGAGGGAGGTTAGCAGAGGAAAGATGAAGGTAGTAGGAGACACAGGGAGGAATACAGTGAATAGAGGTAAATGCTGTTAACTGTGGTACATGGAGGGAATTGCAACCATGTTAAGAAGCACAGTATGTGATTTGTTGAATGTAAAACTGATGTTCTGCTCTGTAAACCTTCACTTGATTCATAATAAAAAGTTAAAAAAAAAAAAAAAGATGATGATGCCAGGAATACACAGAGTCACTGTACCAAAAAGAAATGGTTGATGTTTGACCATTTCAAGAAGTAGCATAATGATGAAGAGCCAATGATACTGAAGGAAGAAGTCCAAGGTACACTGAAGGTATTGGCAAAGATCAAGATTCCAGGAATTGATGGAATACAAATACAAACCACTCAACAAATTGATTCAGCAATGGAGGCACTAACTCTCTCTACTAAGAAATTTGGAAGACATCTTACTGGCCAACTAATTGGAAGAGAACCATATCTGTGACCATTCCAAAGAGAGGTGACCCAATGGAAGGTGGATATCACTGGACAGTGTCATTAATATTAATCACATGCAAGTAAAATTTTGCTAAAGGTAATTAAAAACCAGCTGAAATGGTTTTTAAATACCTTTAGCAAAAGGTGAACTGCCAGAGATTCAAGGCTTCAAGCCAGATTCAGACAAGGAAATGTACAGAGGAATATCATTGCTGACATCAGATGGATCTTGGCTGAAAGCAGAGAATACCAGAAAGATGTTTACCTGTGCTTTATTAACTACACAAAGGCTTTTGATTGTGTGAATCATGATAAGCTATGGACAACATCATGGAGAATGAGAATTCCGGAACACTTAATTATGCTCATGAGGAACCTAGACATAGACCAAGAGGCAGTCATTCGGAGAGAATAAGGGGACCCTGAACAGTTTAAAATTAGGAAAGGTGTGCACCAGAGTTGTATTCTTTCACCATAATTACTCAATGTATATACTGAACAAATATAATCAGAGAAGTTGGATTATATAAAGAAGAACATGGTATCAGAATTGGCAGAAGACTCATTAACAATCTGTGATATGCAGATGATGCAACCTTGCTTGCTGAAAGTAAAAAGGACTGAAAATACTTACTGATGAAGATAAAAGACCACGGACTTCGTTATGGGTTTCATCTCAATGTAAAGAAAACAAAAAATCCTCATAACTGGACCAATAAATAACATCAAGATAAATGGAGAAAAGATTGAAGTTGTCAAAGACTTCAATAGCCTCATATGCATGTGAAAATTGGACAATAAATAAGGAAGACCATAGAAAAATTGATGCATTTGAGTTATGGTGTTGGAGGAGAATATTAAAAGCACCCCAGACTGCCAGGAGAATAAATAAATCTGTGTTGGAAAAAAGTATGGCCAGATTGCTGTGTTGGAACTGACTTGAGAGCACATAACAATTACTTTCTGTCTTACTTTTTCAGTCTCCTTGCTGTTCCTTGAACTGACAGGCATGTTTCTCCCTCTGGTCTTCTGCATTGGCTGTCCTTTCTTGGGATACTCTTTCTTTTAAGAACCATCCAGCTAACTCCCTTACTTTTCATGTTTTTGCTAAAACCTAATCTGTCAGTGAGGCTCGTTCTGACTGCTCTATTTAAAATAGCAACCTTTCATTCATTATCCTTTGTCCTTAATTTCTCCCTGTATCTGTTATTGAAGCCCTGGTGTGGCCCTATAGGATAAACACTGAGCTGCTGGCCACAAGATCAGCTGTTGAAACCCACCAGCTTGTTCTTGGAAGTCCTATGCAGGATCACTATGAGTCAGAACTGACTTGATGGCCTGTAACAACAACAACATTGTTGGTTATTGACATTGGGCATGTTTCACTTATTTTGTTCATTGCCTATCTCTGTCTGCTACAATGAAAGCTCTGTGAGACTAGGACATTTTGTTTTGTTCCTTCCTGTTCTATAACAGTGCTTGGGACATGGCAAGCAGTCAATAGATATTTGCTGAAATAATTTTTGGTTGTAGGTATTATTGAATTGAAATCTTGAGTTGATGCTTTCATTTATTTGTATAGTTTCTAATGCTGTAGAGAATAATGTTGTTGTTAAGTGCTGTTGAGTCAGTTCTAGCTCACAGTGACCCCATACAAGCTTTCTGAGGAGCAACTAGTGGATTTGAACCACTGACCTTGTAGTTAGCAGTTCAATGGTTATCCTACAGCACACATGAGAACTCCACTGTAGTGAACAGGATTACAAAATGGTGTTAATGATGATAATGATAGCAGCGGTGGTGGTGGTGTGCTCCCGAGTCAGTTCCAACTCATAGAGACCCTGCATAGGGTTTCTGAGGCTGTAAATCTTAGGTGAGCAGAAAGCTTTCAAACTGCTAACATTTAGGTTAGCAGCCTAACTCATAACCACTACGCTACTGTTGTTGTTGTTATGTGCCACGGAGTCGGTTCTGACTCATAGCCACCCTGTACAGGGTTTCCCAGGCTGTAAGTCTTTATGGGAGCAGAAAGTCTCATCTTTCTCCCGCGGAGCAGCTGGTAGTTTCGAATTGTTGACCTTAAGGTTCGCAGCCCGATTTGTAAACACTATGCAATAGCAGCAGGAACTAGTACTTACTGAATGTCATGTATTGTTGTAAGTGCTTTACATAATTAATTCTCACAATAGCCCTAAGGGGCAGCAGAGTGAAGTGTCTAAGAGCACAGACCCTGTAGCTAGTGCATTGCAGTTCAAATTCCAGATGCTTGGGTGGCTCAGTGGTTAAAGTGCTTGGCTGCTAACCAACAGGTTGGTGGTTAGAACCCACCAGTAGCTCCAGGAGAGACAGATGTGGCAGTCTGTTTTGTAATGAGTACAACCTTGGAAACTCTATGGGGCAGTCTACTTTGTAGACTAGACTTAATGACAGTGGGCTTGCTTTTGGTTTTGGGTATGACCTTGAGCAAATATGCTTCAGTATTTTCTGTAAGGTTAAGGACCATAATAATAGTATCTACCTCGCAGGATTATTTTGTGACTACCAAGGAGTCCTGGTGTGGTACTGTAGGATCAGCACTAGACCACAGGGTCTGTTTGAACTGCAAGGTCAGTGGTTCAAACTCGGCTGCTCCATGGAAATGCTATGCAGGGTCACTATGAGTCGGAACCGACTTGATGGCACTTAACAATAAAAACAACAAGACTTACAAGGACTTATTATCTGGCTCCTGCCAGATAATAAACATTGATCAATATACAGATTCAATAAATATTATCAACCTCTATGCGCCTCGCTTCCCACCCCTTTACAATTGAGGAACCTGAAGTCTAAATGAGGTTAAATGGTCCCAGAATACACAATTACTCTGTGGAATAACCAGGATTTGAACTCAGAAATAATGAGAACTCTGCTTGATCCAAAAATTGTCTTGTTCTGTTTTGCATAAGGTTGCCAGAGTCTGGGGTTGACTTGAAGGCAGCTGACAACAACAAAAACATAACTTCTTCACTCCACAGACTCTCATAGTAAACAGCTTGGCTTTTACACCTCCTCCAAGATACACTCATGGTGCAAGGTGGTCTTTTTAAAAGGTTCCTCTAAGAACTCAGGTTTTTAGAGAGTTCCAGAAAGTTGGATTGAGGTACTCAATTTTCTCCTTTTTGTATCTCTCATAATTTCAAAATCTCTTTGGGGATATTTAATGCTTGCTGTGTGCTGGGCACATTAGTGGAGCCCTGGTGGCACATTGTTTAAGTGCTTGGTTGTTACCTGAAAGGTTGGCAGTTTGAACCCATTAGCTGCTCCTTGGGAGTAAGATGTGAAAGTCTATGTCCATCAAGATTTATAGCCTTGGACATCCTCTGGGGAAGTTCTACTCTGTCGTATAGGATCTCTATGCATTGGAATCAACTTGATAGAAATGAGTTTCTTTTATTTCTGGTGTGCCTAGACAACTCTTTATCTATCTAAATGGGTCATTTTGAGATTAAATGAGATCCAAGATTTAAGGGAAAATCTTTCAACTGGATTTCTCAGCTTAAATCCCATCACTCCCCAGCTCCTGCATGCTGGAGCCACACCTAACTCTAACTACTCACTGTTCAACCTGGTCATGCCTTCATTCAAGATCTTCTTACCTCTTCCTTCTCTCTTATTCTTCTGTAATCAGCATATTTAGAAGGAATATCCCTGGAAGAAAGCTAGTTTGATCTCAATATTCCTACATGGGACCCCCATGACAATGATCACACTGGGTATTACTAGGAGAGTTATTCGTCTATCTGGTCCAGAAGACCTTTACCTCTTTATGGGCAAGAACCAGATTTTATTCTCTTTGTCATCATATCTAGTGCTGTAAAGTCTATCTGTTGGGGTTAAAGCTTTTAGGCCAGTGTCTGGTATGTAAGAAAAACCACCCTGAACATGTTCCCTTAAAAAGACACATTGCTAGAAAGAATCACAGTTCATGTGTATACATTCTAAGAACAAATGCAACATTTTCTTGTCCACATAGGGTTCCTGGTCATCCATCAAGAATGTACTTACTGAAGCCAAATTGGGAGCTTAAGAAAAGAACAAAGCCATAAATCGCTCTTTCTGGCAATGGCGCCGGTGAATTTTCCACCATTTTCTCTGTGGCTTTAGACAATCTGTGGAAAAGAATCCCAACAATCACGTCAGTGATTTACTCCCCTTCGCCATTGGCCTATTGTAACCTCATGGCTTTGCTATGGGCAGAGCCTCTGAAGGAGTTTTTATTTCAGCGGAAACCATACAAACTGTCATCCAGCGCACACCCCACCCCACGGCCGCATATACATGCACAATCTGCAGCGGCAGGAATGACTGGGGAGAACCCGGAGTCACAAACGCCGCCCCAGCCCCGCAACTTCCCCAGGTTAGGGCCCTGTTCCCTCTAGGGACTTTTGTTTCTTATTCAAGAACTCATTCAAAGGTTGGGTATGGTATGCCCTTGACCAGGGGCTCTTTCTGCACCCTTCCCCCAGGCCCCTCCTGCCAACTCGGCCACCTCCTCGCTGAGTCCTCTGCTGCGCAAGCGCCGATTAGGAAACTGCAGGGGGTCGAGAAAGGAAAAACTGAAGGATCTGCTACCAAGCTACGAAGCCCCCACCCATAGACTCACACGCACCGGAGAGACGCGTGCGCAGGACGGGGGGCAGGCACTAGAGCTCCGCTTGCAGAGTTGAGGGAGAGGGCTAGAAGGTCCTTGTGCGCATGTGTGTTTCCATCCCACGTGACAAATCTGCCGCTCTTCCCCGCCTGCCTTTTGGCTGACGTGGAGAGGGTGCTGAGGTGGCTGCTGCTGTTGCTGCTGCTGCTGTTGCTGCTGCGGCGGCGGCGGCAGTGGGGGCTGCCCGCGTCCGAAGCTGGCGACTTGCGGGTCCCCTGGTAAGTGCACCCCTGGCGTGTGGCAGTTTACCTTGTTCCGGGGATAGAGGGCCTTGCCCCCCACAGTCCCTGCATTAGTATGTGGTGAGTGGGTGTGTGCGAGTTGCTTGGCGCCCTTCACTGTGGTGCCCGCTGTGTGTCTGTGTGGACCCGGGACCCCTGGAGTGTGTGTGTGTGTGTGTCCGTCCCTTTTTGTCTGGTGTCCTGTTTCTGCAAGCAGGTGTCCCTCTGGGGTCTGCGTCAGGGTGGGAGCGTCCCAATTTTGTGCAAATCCTCCTGCTGCCCGCGTGTGCCTCGTCTCCGTGTGTCGGTGACACCACCGTTAGGGTGCACCCGTGTCTATCCCCCGCGACCATCCCTTTGTGTCCGTGCCATGGCGTGGGAGCACCACTCCTCCCTCTATGTCACTGCCCCCCTGTGGGATGTGCGTGTGGCCGAGCCTTGTGCCAGCGCGACCCCAGCTTAGAGCCCCCTCCGCCGGAGTGTGTTGCGCGCGTGTGCAGGTTTTCTGGCAGCGAATGTTCTGGAACAGTTGGTACACGCGCCGTCCTCTGTCCCCTACGTGGGTGGTCTGCCACCTGTTTTTGTGAGACCTGATAACCTAATGCATCGCTGCTTCCCTCAACCCCCTCCCTCTAGCGGTTTGGGTCAGCTGCTTCGGTATTCGTAGTGTTTGCAAACCCAAGTGTGGCCCGTTAAGCCTGAGGGTCAGGGCCTTAGAATGTTGTTGTTAAGTGCCATTGAGTCGGTTCCGACCCATAGCGACCCTGTACAGGGTTTCCGAGGGTGTAAATCTTTACGGGAGTAGAAAGTCTCATCTTTCTCCCGCGGAGCGGCTGGTAGTTTCGAACCGCTGACCTTAAGGTTCGCAGCCCGATTCGCTCTGGTA